TTTTTTTTTAATTAATTAATTAATTTATTTTTATTATCATCATAATCTTCTTTATATTACATTGGATTACATATAACTTTACAGTGTATTACATTGTTCATCATGACTTTTTTGATCACTCAATATATATACATGTATACTTTTAAAAAAAAAGCTTTTTTTTTTTTTTTATGGGGGAAAGGGACAGAAAAGTACCCTCCCAAAACAGGCTTTTTTTTTTTTTTTTTTTTAAGCTATTTTTGTTGTAGGGCGCATGTGCTTGCCAGAGAGACAGGAGAGAGGCAGAAAGCACACGTGTCCTATAGCATATCACCCGCCTTGGGGGATGGCCATACTGCAATCCTTTCTCTATTCTTTTCTCAGGATTTTGGGCATGCCCAGCCTGAGTTTCAATCTGCCCAGTCCTGGACTTGAACCGTAGTTAACCACGTGGGAGTTCAGCCTCTTAACCATTTTGCCACCTGCTGGCCCCCTCCACAGACTTTTTTTTTTGAGAGGTTTTTGCTATAGGGCGCGTACGCTCGCCAGACAGACAGAGACAGACAGAGAGACAGAAAGCGAGAAATCACCCCCCGGGGGGATGGCCACACCACAATCCCTTCTCCTCTCGGGATCTTGGGCACACACGCACATGCGCCCGGCGTGAGATTAAGCCACTGGGTACGGGACTCAAAACGCGGTCGACTACGTGGGAGTCCAACAACATAGCCATTACGCTAACTGCTGGTCCCCCTCCACAGACTTTTAATGCTGCCATTCACCCCTAGCTTTACCTAGCCTGGATTATGGGCATGCAAGCACTCAATGTGTTCTGGGAGGTTTCTGGATGTAAACCTGGAACTTTCTCATATGAGTTAGCCTCACAGAGCCTTTTGTTACTGCTCTCCACCTGGTGGTCCATTTCCATGTATACTTATTTTTTTTTTTAGCCCTTGTATTGAGGACTGATTCTCAATAGATTGCAGTGAGGGAGCTCCTCTGATAATGTTCAAAATCCTGACCCATAACCCATCACCTGTATACACATGTATATTTTTATAAGAGTAAGAAAATTATGCCAGAATTCAAAAAGTTAACACTGGTAATCTCTTAATGGGTTTATTTTTATTTTATAAACTTAAGATTATTTTGAAGTTTTATATAAATGTGTAATTTCATTTTAAAAACTAGGTTTACAAGTACTGTCATTGGGCTGGCCTCATAGCGCAGCAATTGAGTGTGATGTGTGGTAAGCCAGATAGTACATGGCTGACTACAGTTTGGATCATGGCCTGTAGCTTAAGAAACATAGCACCCAGACTTGAGAGACGTAGCAGACACATGCATGTACGCTTGGGATTCTGATGGAGTGGAGAAGTGGAGGATTCCAGCATGGCCAGGCCCCCTTATGGGGGTGCTTTCTCCCTTAGAATCCATATTTTCACATTAATATCTTCTTGTTTTATTACAGGAAACGTCCTGATCAGACATGGGTTCAATGTGATTCCTGTCTAAAGTGGCGAAAATTACCAGATGGGATAGATCAACTTCCAGAAAAATGGTATTGCTCCAATAACCCTGACCCACAGTTCAGGTACCATATAGTTGGTAGTACCCTTTTGGAAAGGCAGAAAGTACTGTTCAACACTTATGAGTAGGCGCTGGTGACGTATTATTCCCATGTGATTTTTCTGACTAGAAATTGTGAGGTTCCAGAAGAACCCGAGGATGAAGATTTGGTACATCCTACTTACGAAAAAACCTACAAAAAGAAGTGAGTATTGTATGTAGAGTGGGGAAATAATGGCCAAGTCATGGACAGTGTTGAGTGGTAGCATTAGTTGATGCTTTTCCCAGAAAAAAAAAACTCATGTAAATAGAAAAGATTATGACGTGGAGTGCATACTACTACCAAATGCTTTTTTATTTTTTTAAGCTTATGCTGTAGATACCTGCCATTTATTTACCTGCTATTTATTGTCCTAACTATAAGATACTCTGAATAAGGGTAGTTTATCTTTTTGAGATATACAGATGAATCTTAAGTGAATACTCTCCTTTATAAACAGAAGTAGTGGGGCTTATATATTACCCAATAGAGGTTGATGAGTACAAAAATGATGTGATCCTGGAGAAGCTCATAGGAGAGAAGTTTCTGTCTGTGGGGACAGAGAAGGCAGAAATGGATCAGGTAACTTCATGAAACAAGTCATTTTTAAAATAGGCTGTGAAGGATGAGAATGTGCAGAAAACAATGATTTGTTCAGTTTAACTAAAGTAAGTGGAATAATGGCAAGTAGTGGTGGGATAGATAGGTAAGCTAGAGAATAACAGTCAGCCAGGGTGAGCTTGAGGCGAATGTACCATACACAGGCCATGTTCACTAAGAGCATTTCACATGGTTTCTATAGTGTAATATTCTTAACTAAAGCCAGCATCAGTACAAGAAGTAAAAGTAATCCAAAGTCTTTGAGATCTACAGTTCATGTTTGTGGGGATGGAAAATTTTAGGCAGACATTGGGGTGTACTGAGAGAGCACAGAGAAAGTATTCCCATACATGGTTACCGAAGATTATCATGAAATCAAAGCGAAGTTCGGGATGCATATCTGAGTAACTTGCTCATGAAATGGCAGGTATTTCTTTAGAAGATGGATTGAGAGATAATGATGTTTATTATTTTTTTCATCTTTCTTTTAAAGCAACAAGGAAAAATTCAGGATCAGACAACCGGAAATTATTCCTCGGGTAATTAAGCTTTCTCTTTTATAGCTGGGTCTTGTATTAGGTAGTACTTAGTTTAACCAGTACTGAGTTTTAAAGTTCAGGACTTAAGTAACAGATCAAAGCGCTCTTATTTATTCAGTTCAATGTCTCCTCTTTTTTTGTACTCCTGCTTCCTCTCCTTTACAACCCTAATTTCCTAACCTAATAACCCATTTAAACTGTTCAGTTCTGTTGTTTAGTTGGGCATCTTTTGAGGAAAGGCTTTTCTTTTCCTTGTTGACTACTCTCCCTGACCTATTTTTTCTTGGTTTTTAAGTTTATTTTATTAATGAAAGTGAGAGAGATACAGGTACTCTCAATAGGGTTATACTGCAGTCCCCTTCCCCCAGCCCTCCAGTTTGTCAGGACCATGGATGCTTGTGCAGCCAGCCTATTTTCAGGTCTGCTTGGCATCCAGGCACACAGTTGGCATGTGGCTTTCAGCACTGCAGTTGAGTACTACTGTCTGTACCACTGAGACTGGGCCCCTGATTTTTATTTAGCATTTGATAGTATCAAAGAGCTTTGGCTGAGTGTATGAGTAGTTGGTTATACTTCTTGTATAAAAAGTTTTGATTCACTTGTGTATTTTTGCTTTTAGTTAGGTCAAAGAGTCTTCTAGTATAATGCTGAGGGTTTGATGGTGAGAACAGAACTGAGGGGAACGAGTGTGTCTTTTTACTTTTAAAGGCTGAAGAGTGTGTATTTTTACTTTTAAAGGCTGTATCTTTGTGAGTCTCATTTTCAGTCTCTTAGATAAATAAGGTTTCATTATATCTTGATAAGTCCAACATTACATGAGTCACCACATAGTAAATATTTTTTGTTTTTGTGGCCACATAATAGTCTCTTATATATTCCTTCTTTTTTTTTTCTATCCTTTAAAAACAAAAGAGCATTCTTAGCTCACTTGCAGCCTAGATTTGCTCATTGGTCTATATTTGTTGATTCCTGATATTAAGGTAACTCTCAGTGTCTTCTGGGATAAGGGGGAAAGAGAAGATATATCTTGTGTTTTGGGCATATCACATTAAAATATTGCCTATAAGATCAGTTTTTTTTTTTTTGTTTTTTTAATCAACAGATTAATGCTGAACTTTTATTTCGGACAACCCCAGCTTCAAGTCAGAGCTTTTCTCCTGCAAAGGAAAGTGTTCCAAGAGGACATCATTCAGAAGTGACAAATTCTTATGCAACAAGACTTATGAATAATCATCGTGTTTCAGCCCAGTCTGAACCAGAGAGCAGCAGGTCAGTGGCTAAGATGTGTTTTTCTTTTTGGAGAGGTTTTTGCCAGACAGACAGAGACAGACAGAAAGCGAGAAATCACCCCCCAAAGGGGATGACCACGCCACAATCCCTTCTCCTCCATTCTCCTCTCGGGATCTTGGGCACGCACGCACATGCGCCCGGCGTGAATTTAAGCCACTGGGTCTGGGACTCGAACCGTGGTCGACTATGTGGGAGTCCAGCAACATAGCCATTACACTAACTGCTGGTCCCTAAGATATGTTTTTCTTTTGGGAAATATTAGTCTTTACTTGACATTTCTAAGGCAATAATGTGGTTCTTTTTTTTCTGCTAGAGGGCACATGTGCTCATTAGTGAGTGGCAGAGGGAGAAAGCACCTCAGTGGGATGTGGTTACACCAAAGTTATTTCTCCTTTTTTTCTTTTTAAAAATTTTTATGAGTTTTTTTTTTTTTTTCTTTATGGTGCATGCACTTGCCAGAGAGAGGCAGAGATAGAGGGAAAGTGAGAAATCACTCCCTGGGGAGATGGTCATGCTGCAGGTCCTTTTCCATTCTTCTCCCAGGATCTTGGGCATGCATGCATGCACACCTGGCATGATTTTCAGGCCACTGGGTCCAGGACTTGAACCATGTTTGGCCATCTGAGAGTCCAGTGACGTCACCACTACACCATCTTCTAGCCCCTCCCTTCTCCATTTTTTCCATCCTTCTGGAGATTTTAATACATACATACATGTTGACTTGTTTTTCAAGCTGTGTTCAGCCATGTAGGATCCTGCTGCCCTTAACCACTGGCCATGGTGCCCTCTTAAATAATTTAAAAGTCTGTTTATTCCCAAATTTATAAAACCAAAGTCTGTGGAAAGGTAGTATCTAAACTAAGTATTAGGAAAGACAAATAGGAATTCGCTCATTAAAAAAAGAATAGGATAACTTCAATCAAATGAGGCAGAATTGATAAATAAGAGGTAATTGATACACTAGAGCAGAGAATGATAAAACCTAAGCCTGCTGGAGGGGAGGTGGAAACCTGACAAGAAGCAAACTAATTTCACAGATCTCCAGAAAATCTCACAATTGGAAACTCTGGGTAGTAGTGCTGAAGGTGGAGGTAGGGGTGAAAATAGGTGAGGCTCCCTGGGAAGTTGAAAGGAAGAGAAGTTCCTAGACCTCTTTCTAACCTTTAATGCCTTAACAACTGCTGCTTCTCTTTATTTGTTAGAGATTTGCTTTCTGGAGCTGGTTTTTAGTGATAAATATGGAAGTGAGCCATTGTTTTGAAAAGAGAAGTAAGGAGTAAAGAAAAAATTTGAATGCTAAGTGGTGAGAAATCCACCCTCCCTTTTTTTCCTCCCTGGTGTCCTAAGAGAGGAGCCCTAAATGATGATGGCAGTCTGAGCACTCTTTGAAATCACAAGTCCAGACTTCACTGCTTCTAGTCAGTTTTCCACTTAAATATCGCCAGATGTGTGATCTCCAACATGGGACAGCAGTGAAAACAGAGAGAGGGAAAAGAAAACGGGAAATTTATTGTGAGAAACGGGGTAGATGTTGACTAAATAGATCTCTTGGAACAAAAAAATAAACAGAAGATAGAGAAAAGAAAGGTAAAATATTAGTACAGGAGGGCCAACATCTGAATAAGGGACTTTCATAATGGAGGTCAAAGGTAAGGAGATAATACAGTAAAAACGTAATTTCTGCTAAATGTCTGGAAAAAGTTCCATTACAAGGTCTATCATCATGTGTGTGTGTGTTTTTTTTAATGTAACTTTATTTTCATTCATTTGTTTATTTTTACATTTTTCCACATTTACTTTTCATATTAAAAATTTTCAAAATTTTAAATACTGAATTTTAAAGATAATGTTCAAAATATTTCCTTTTTTTAAAAAATAAATACAATACAGGATTTATTAAAAATCAGGGCTCCCCTGCTGTGCCCTCCTGGCACTAAGGAAATAAATAACCAGAGGGAGCACAGCTGGGAAAAGGGGAAGAAAAATGAGATCTCAAGACAGATTCTTTTAACTACCCCTCCTTTTCCCAACTCCCTCTCCCCTACGGCTCTTGGGACTTAGCACCTGAGCAGACACCTCAGTCCAGTTGAGGATGGCTGGTATCAAGGCATGTCTGCCCTGCCCAGGAGTGGAGACGGGCCCTGGGATCGTTCGTTTCCAGCCCTTGAGGACCCTGAGACCTGCTCCCCCAAGGAGCCAGGGCAGAAGCACCAATCAGAGGCACCTGAGGGTGGAGTTGGCAGGGGAGAGAGAACAGGATAACAGAACCTGGGCAGCAGAAAGGGGGCCCGGCCCCCTCTCCAGGTCCAGCCAGTGCCTGACTGAGGCCATGGGGCGCCTCATCATCCTTGGAGCCAGGCCTGCACTCAACTCGCTCAGCTGAGGATCTTGCGGGGCAGCTCGACAGAGGCACGGATGAAGACAGCGTCGTCCCGCACATAGTTTCTCTTTCGGGTGTCCTGATGGGAGATGAACTTGGGGTAACTACAGCCCAGAGAACTTTCGTCCAGGGAGCCCCGCTAAGTGCCAGGCTTTTGAAAATTCTTCCAGTTTGGGTCGGGGTGGAAAGTCTCAGTGATATGCTGTGGCTTAGCCAGCCCAGGGTCGCTTTGATCCAGCAGGGAGAAGGTGACCCGGCGGGCAAAGGGCCGGGCCGGGAGATCGTCAAAGGCTCCTGGTAGCACACAGATGTAGAGCGAGAGGTGTGTGTCTTCGCCACTGCCGGTGCTGTTGAGGAAGGCAGACACCTGCAGCTTATAGCCGTACTTGTGTGTGTAGAAGGCTGGGCTGAAGCACTTGAGGTTGGGCTTGGCCTTGGCCTCCTGGAGTCGCCGCCCATAGCTGCCAATCTTCCAGATGAGGACACCATCACAGCCCACTGACAGCTCCTCCAGCTCTCGCTGCAGCTCCTGCAGCAGCTCCTGCCTCTGTCGACTCACCAGGGGACACATCATGGCCAGATGTGGCTTCACACTCTCCTCCACATGCTGTGCCATTGCCAGCTTAGGGCACCTGTGATTGCAGCTGGAGTCTTTGAAAGGGCACAGCACCAGGGCAGTGCTATAGCTGTCCTTGAGGTGACCTTGCAGGTCCTCCCGAGCCACGGTGCCCACGCCACACTGGTTGGGGCAGGGCACAGGCAGCCTTGGGCACTGGTACTGGTGGCTCTGGATGGTGTCGAAGACAAAGTCCTTGGTGCAGTAGGTACAGGGCTGGGTGCGCTTCGGGCACTCAGAGGTGGCATGCTGGGCCAGCAGCCACCGCATCATGCGGGCATCACACTTGTTCTCACAGTACACACTCTCTTTAGGGGCACATGCCCTCATGGCTCTCATAGGCTTCCCCACTGAAATCACAGCCACAAAACTCACACTTGAGGCGCCGCTTGGGGCAGTCATGCTGCAAGTGTACTGGCAGATCACGGCGACTCAGCTTGGTCGGGCAGCGATTGGGGCAGGGGACCATGTTCAAGCTGCAGCTATTCAGGTGGCCCTGCAGATGATGAAGCGGCCTACTCCAGTGGCAGCCCTCCTCGCTGTGAATGCAGCAGATGGGCAGACCCAACACCTGTACTTCCAGCTCTGGGTCTGGGTAGATCTTGGCATAGTCCAGGGGAAATTGGTCTTCGGGGCATTTGAAGACTCCTTCACTGAGGAACTTCTGCAGGCAGGTGTCGTAGAAGCCACAGGTAGAAACCTGCATGGGCTCTCGCATGGGCTTCCCACACACAGCAGCCACCGCTTGGGCTTCTTCAGGAACTTGTAGTCAAAGCCGGG